CTGGACCGGAGGGGCGGGCCGTTTGTATCCAGGCCACTCGGTGACCGCTCAGGGCACCACCGTGCACGGCGCAGGGAGTCAGGAGACCTGGACTGTACTCCCAACACGGTCGCTAATTAGCTCTGGGACTCTGGGCAAGTTATACCCCTTCTCTGGGCCTCAGTGTCCCCTCCTGTAAAAATAACACTTAGAAAACTAGTAATGTCGAGAAAACTTGATAATTGTTTAACAGCTGCATTAAAAGAGGTACACTGGGTGCCCCTGAAGGTGCAGGGCGGCTAAGAATTTTCAGATCGGAGACTCTTGAAGCAAAGACAAGTTTGAGGGGCCCTTGGGGCGCTGGAAGGGAGATGGGCCAAGGCCTGGGGGGGTACAGGCAGGCTGTGGGGGGCATTATGGGGGGGCTCTGTGGACACAGGCCCTCCCCTGGCTGCCGTCCTCCCCACCCCCCAGGGGGCTGTGCTCTGGGGCATCTGTTGGGCTGCGAGACAGAATAAGGAAGACCCCGAGGGAAAATGGGAGGAGTCAGGCCCGAGACCCTGAGGACCAGGAATGAGAAGGCAGAGGGGTGTGGGGAGCTCAAAAAAGGGCTCATCAGAAGCCCCTACCCTGCAACATGGGAGGAGGCTGGGAGAGGGGGCCCGGCTCGGTGCACTCACCCCCTCTCTGTGCTCCCCTCCCCGAGGAGGAGCCCCGACAGGGATTGGCAGGGCACTGACAGCTCGGGCAGCAGATGGGACCCAGGTGTCCCCTCCTGGGGTGGGTGGCTCGGCCCACAGAGGCCAGATGGTGTTTATGGTGGGAAGGAAGGCCTGAGTCGTCCAGAATAGGCGATCAGCCCCCCAACAGACCGCCTGGCCACACCCCTCGGCCCCGGGGCAGGAAGGCACGCCAGCCCTGGGTTCTATAAAACAAGTTTATTCACATTTTAGAAAAACGAATTCTAGGACAGGGGATGGTCTCCCCGTGGGATGGGCATGAGATCAACAACAACAGAAGGCCAGAGCGGGGAGCCGGGAAGGGAGGAGTGGGGGCGGGGGGCCACGGCCCCCACTCTGGGTGGGGAGGCCAAATAAATTAAAGGAAGGGGGGACAGAGGGAGAGGGGAGCCAGGCAGCCAGAAGTGCTCTTGGAGCTGGGCTGGAAGACAGTCCACACCTGCAAGAACTGGGGAGAGAGAGCGCGGGGTGCGCTAAGGACAGAGCCCCCTCCGGTGCCCGCTTCTCCCCCAGGCGGGGCCGGGGAGGGGCACTCACCCCAGCACGCGGTGGCGGGGAGGCCGGGGCCGGGGGTGCGGTGGGGGGGGGGGGGGGGGGGGGGGGGGGGGGGGAGACAGCAAGGTCGGGGGTTCTTTGCCCTCACCTGGGGAGCAACGGGTCACCGTTTTCGAAGCCTCTTCATGAAGCAGCACGTGATGGTACCAAGGACGGTGGCCCCGGTGACTAAGGCGACCCCGGCACCCACCAGCAGGGGCACAAACAGGGTGTCCAGGGCTGGGAGAGAGCGGACGGCTCTGTTCAGCCCGGGGTGCCACTACCCTGCCATGCCCGCGTCCCAGCGCCCTCGCTGCCGGGTCGCGGGCCCCCTTCCTCCATTCCCAGACGGCGCCCCCTGCCCTCTCCTCCCAGACCAGGTTCAGCGGGGATGCTGGGGCCAGAATGGGACGAAAGCGGGTTTTCACGCAGGAGAAGGGGGGACGGGAGCAGGAGGGGCACATGGGAGGGGCAGAACAAGGGCCCCGGCTGAAGCGGGGGGCGGGCAGGGGTCACTCACCGTGCGTGTAGGGGTACACCGTGACGGGCCCCGAGCGAGCGCTGCCGGCCTGGTACCAGCTGTAGTCGGCATGCCGCACCCAGGCGCTGGGGGCGCAGTGGTACACGCCTTCGTCCTCGGGCCCCAGGCTGTGCAGCCTCAGCCGGTGGCTGCGGGGCCCCACCAGCTCCACGCTGACCGGGCCTCCTCCAGGCCGGACCCCCAGCTCTGCCACGCCGTCCTGGCCCACGCCGCCCACCAGCCGGGCAGGTGCAGGGCTCAGCTCCCCTTCCTCGGGTCGCTCCACCCACCAGCTGGCAGCCAGGCGCAGCCCCGGGGGGCCGCCGCGCACAGAGATGTTGCAGAGCAAGGACGCCGTCTCCCCACGGTACACGGTGCCTCCCGCCAGCCAGGCCACGGCCTCCAGCACCACGCCTGCAGGACGAGGACGAGGACGTGGGGTCAGAGGGGTGTGGGGTCGGGACTGCTGTCCGAGCGACACCCCAGTCCTGAAGAAGAGAAGCGGGGAGACCGAGGCATGGCAGCAGCCGGGGCGGAGCAGGGGGGGGATGCACAGAAGCAGAAGGAAGAGGTCCCACCAGCCCCGGACCCTGGCCAGGCCCCAGCCACCCCCTCACCTTCCTCCCGCACGTGCACCGGGAGTGGCCGGGAGCGGGCACTGGCCGCTTCTCGAAGCCGAGCCCCAGACCCTCGGACGTAAGCCTTGGCCAGGCAGCGGTAGGTGCCCGCGTCACCTGGCCTGGCAGCCTCCAGCCGGAGCCGGTAGGTTCTGGACGCCACCTTCTCCATGGCGATGTGCCGGCCTTCATAGCCGGGGCCCAGGCTGCCCACACCCTCTGTGTCCAGCTGGGCTACCAGGCGGCCGGGCCCAGGGGCCCCGGCAGGGGCCATCTCCCAGCCCACAGAGTACGCAGCGTGGCGGCCTGGCGGGGGCAGCGCCCCGGACACGTTGCACAGCAGTTCCAAGGGCTCTCCGGGGCCGATCCGCCGTTCCCCGGGCCCCACGGCCACTGCCAGCTGGCTGGCTGCAACACAGGACAGGGAAGGGGCGTCACGGAGGCAGCAGGGGGCACAGAGCTCCCGACTCCCCACCTGTAGTTCTCTCCTGGACAGCGGCACTGTCACAGGGTAGGACCGTGGCGCCCACCCAGGGCCTGACTCTTGGCCCTTGGCCACGGCCCTCCCATCTCCACACCCAACTTCGGAGCAGAGAAAACCCACCACGGGAGGGAAGTGATGCAAACAGGATGGCTCACTGTGGAAGACGGGCTCCCTGGAGTCGGGCAGGGACCGTCCGGTGCCCGCCCTCGGCCACGGGGCCCACTGCGACACCACAGCCCCCAGTCCCACCGTGGGCCCGTGGCACTCACACAGCGTCTGCACGTCCACGTGGGCCAGGACAGCTCTCTTCTCCGCGATCTGGGCCCAGCTGCCGTCGGGATCCTGAATCCACTCGGCAGCCGTGCAGTGGTAGGTGCCCGCGTCCTCGGCCTGGGCACCCCCCACCACCATGCGGTAGCGCTCGGCCCCCTCCTTGCCCAGCCGCAGCTCCCCGGCAGCCAGCCGCTCGGCATAGGGAGCCCCAGCCTCCACGGCCAGGTCGGGCCGGAGCCCCACGACTTCCTGCAGCGTCGCTCGCCCTACGGGCGCCTCGGGGACCGCTCTCCCGAAGGACACGGCCAGGTGTGTGTGCTTCTGCGTGCTCGTCCGCGCCAGGCAGCCCAGCGCCAGCTCCTGCCCCTCGTGCACCGTCAGGCGAGGCGGTGAAGTGGGGGCCTGGCGGCCTCGGGGCCCCGGGGGGGTGGCAGACACCTGCAGCGCATCTGGAAGAACTGGAGAGAACAGCCGGAGTGGGGGAGGGCCGGGAGCCGGTGGCCCTCGTTGCTGTTCCCCGTGTACCACCTGCTTCCTGAAATAGACCGTGGTGAGCTCCCACAGGGCCGGGTGATCTCTTCTCTAACCCAGTGGTGCCAGGGACGGTGCTGGGCACCCCACAGGCGCTCAATAAATACTTGTCAAAGTTCATAGCCCAGCCCGTCGCCTACTCACCCGTATGTGTGGAGCCGACCCCTGTTTGAACTACAGAAAAGTGGCTCTGTCCTCCTTCCCAGAACACAAAGAAATATAAGAGACCAAGAATGTCACGTGGCCTCACTCCTCCTACCCTACCTCCACTTCCTCCCCCTCCGCCCCCAGATCTGGATCCTGGAATCTCCAGGAATGGCCTCTATTCACCCCAGCAGGCTCCCCCCACCCGGGAATGGAGGGGACTGGCTCCCCCTTTCCCCGGAGGTAGCTCCATAGAACAGGAAGAGCCAGCAGCTAGAACGAAGAGACCTCGGTTAGAGGCCCAGACCGGCCACCGGCCTGTGGGCGATGTTGCGCGAGTCCCGTAACCCCTTTGGGCCTCAGTTTCCCCAGCTGCAAAACCTGAGGGGTGGTTAGACAGGTCCCTCCTGGCCCCGACGCTGCGCCTTCTGCGTGGGTGGGCCTCGCCCCCCGCCCGGGGCCGCTACCTCTCAGCTCCACCTTGCCGCTGTAGCTGCCCAGGTAGCGGGTGTCCGTGGACGGGGTGTAGCACTCGTAAATGCCAGCATCCTGGGCCTGTAGGCGGGCGATCCTGAGCACCACGGCGTCCCCCTGGAGACGCTGCACCTGCACCTCACCAGCCGCCACGCGGGGCCCGAAGACAGCGTAGGAGAAACGGGCATCCCTGGTGCTGACGATGCCCAGCGCGGCCTCTGGAGCCTCAGGCCTGTAGAGGAACCACTCGAAGTCCTGCTGGGCAGGGCCCTCGTAGCCACTGACGTTGCAGGGGATGGAGACGGCCGTGCCAGCCACGCGGTACAGGGGCCCCTGTGGGACCAGCACCTCCCGGGCGAAGCACTCGGCTCCTGTAGGGAAGGACGGGAGATGCCGGAGATGCCTGGGTCCCCGCCGCATCGCCCACTACCAGCCCCGCTCTTGACCCCTGCCCAATGAAGGACCGGAGACCTGGGGAAGGCTGGGACCCGGCTGGGACCCAGGGAAAGGATGCCGGGAGGTAAGACACCCGGATCTCGAGTTGGTCACAGACCCAGGTTTGCCTCAGGACCCAGAAACACCCCATTTCCGGCGGGTCAGAAGTAAGGCCCCTACGGGCAGAAAGAAGTCTATCTGCTTCCGTTCCTTGATTCCAGCTGTACCTGGATTCCCTCCCCCATTTCCCCGCTCTCGTGCGTTCTGGGCCCGGTCAGCGGAGCCTTCCAGCTAAGGGACTCAGTCCCCGCGTCCCTCTCCTTTGTTGGAGGGGAGCTGGCAAAATCTTGCTTAGAAGGGCGGGTTGGCTCAGCTGTGTCACCTGGACCAGGGGACTCCAGACAATGGAGCCAGTGGCCCGAGCAGGACAGGGCACAGACCCAGTCAGTTCTCACCACACAATGCCCTCCCCGCCCCGTCCAGCTGTGCCATGAGCTCACTGCTTCTGCCATCCCACAGGGCTGCCGAGGCAGCTGAGGCTTATGGGGCAAGAACCAACCTCTGCCCTGGCCTCTGGGGGCAGAAGATCGCTCCCCCAGCCCCACCCCCACCCCCAATCTTCTAGGCTGACCCAGTGGATGCACAAAGCCCCCCTCCCAAGTCCCTAACAAAAGCCTTCATTTGCATACGGTGTGCATTCATTTACATAAGGTTCCCTCTGTGTTGGGAGGCGCAAACTCGGGCCACCCCTTCCTGTCTTTCTCTCCTCAGATAGGCCAAAATTCTCTTCTTCCCCATGCTGCCCCCACCTCCAGGCCCTACACTGCCCCCAGCAGATACTCCTGAGGCCCTTGGAGGGCTCTGCTTCTTCCTTCTCTCCTTGCATCCGTCCTTCCGTAGCCCCACTGGATAAGATCACAGAACTCCAGGAAGGAGGGCTGGGCCAGCCCCCTGCTTCCATTTCACACAGGAGAAAAGTTCAGGCAGAAGTATAATGTCTTGACCAAGATCCTACTATCCTTAGATGGCTTCCACAGGTCCCTGCAGAGCGACAAAGCCAGGGAAGAAGAGGGGGAAATCCTAGCAGAGGCCCGGGCCCGGGGAGACTGACCTCACCAACCAGAATTCCCATCACTCCCAGGGGCATACCCAGGGCCTTTCTGCAGAGGCTGGAGAAAAACACCAAGTTTGTGGTCAAGCTCTGCTCTCTGGCTCCTCCAGAAGCTGGGCTCTTAGCCCTTTCCTGTGGCTGAGTCCAGGGAGGAGGGAGGCACTTGCGGTCGCTTGGGTTCAGCAGGTTGGGTCCCGGCCCCAGCCCCGTGCCCCGTGCCCAGCTGCATGGACACATCCCTTGTTCTCCCAAGCTGGTTTCCACACTGGAGGAGAGCTAAGAGCTTCCATTCTGACAGTGAGTGAGGCTGTGACTCAGGAGGGCCCTACCCTAGGGCATTTCATAATCTAGGCGACGGTGGAGACAGCTGAGCTGACACCTTTGGGCCTCCGGGCAGACTCTGCTCAGAAGGGCCCCCTCCCACCTTCCTGGCTCCACAGCTGCTGATGCTTGGAGATCCCCATGGGAAAGTCAGCCAGCCGCCTTAGGAAACCAGCTGCCAGGCAGCTCCCTTCCCAGGCCAGAGCGGGGAGGAGGGGCAGACACCTGCTTTGGGGTCCATCGGATCTGGGTTCGAATCCAAGACCTAGCGCTCCCTAGATGTGTTCTCTGGGGCAAGTCACTTCACTTTCCTCATCTTCGGAATGAATGGAAATACCCGCACGCAGTGGGCAGGCAGATCTCTGCGGGCTCTTCCAAGTCTGTGCCCCACCCCTCCCCACCTCCTCTGGGCCCTTCCACTCCACGCTGCCCACTGGGGACAACGGGCCAACTGCTAGGCAACCGGGCCCCACAGCAACTCCCTCCTGCCTCCCACCCAGGGCTCCAAGGAGAGGCCTCATTCTGTTTCCCCAGGGCCCAGGGACCTATGCAGCCAGGGGCGAGGCTCTGCTTGGCACAGCGGTGGGGCTCTGGTCTGGAAACAGGCTGCTGGGGCTACGTCGTCAGCCTGCGCCTTGACTATGGCAGCTTGGAATCCGGGTGGCAAGGCCACCCCCACGCGGTGCTCTTTCTTGCTTCAAGGGCTTGGGTCTCCCCAACATCTGTACAGGCAGCCTCCCTGTCTGGAAGCCATGCTCCTCCCCAGACAAGCTCCTAAGGGAACCCTCCAGTTCAGGCCAAAAACAACTGCACTGTCAGGGCCCTGATGCATCCACCCAGCGGTGGCCAGAACACCTCGCCATGATCACCCACCCCAGCGGATGCAGGGTGCTTGGAGATCCCAGCATCGGTCCATGGAGCCTGCTTTCCCCTGAGGCGGGGAAGGTGGGGGGACTAAGGGGGTGTGACCAGCGGTGGGGGGCTACAGAGTCAAGTGCGACCTGAGAGAGAGAAAGTGGGCAAAGAGAGACCCCGCCCCGCGTGGAGACGGCGTAAGAGGCGGAAGTGCCCCAAACATCAGATGATGAAGTGGGGCGGAGGGGAACCATCAGGGGAGACTGAACTTCAAAGATTATGGGCAGAACCGGCCTCTGGGCCTCCAGCCAACTCCGGGCAATTACGAAGACGGGCGAGCACTGCCCACGCAGGGAGGGCACTCAGAGCTGGGCCTGAAGCTCAGTGTGAGGCGGAGGGAGACGTAGCATTTGGGCGCAGAGACCCCAGGACCTGAGTACGCCGACTGAGAGGTGGGGCCGACCCCGCGGCCTGGGGGGTGGCACCTCGGTGGGTCCTCACTGGGCCCCAGCCCGGGGCCTAGAGCTGGGGGTCTGGCTCGGCGGGCAGCTGGGCGCCGAGCTCGGGGAAGCTCGAGGCGCCCCTGACGGAGAAACGGGTGCGAGGGGCCCCGAAACGCTGGGGAGGTGGGCCGGGCCGAGCGCCAGGTGGCAGGCACATGCCGGCAGGGCTGGGGGCCGGGGCGGGGGCCGGCTTACCCAGCATTAGCAGCAGCAGGAGCAGCAGCAGCGGGAGCCGCGGCGAGAGACCGAGGGCGCCCATCCTGCGCGGCCGGCTTTGGGGAGGCTCCGGGGGTCGGCGCGGGCTCTGAGTGGACGGGGGCTCGGGGGCGCATGCCCGGGTAGGGGGCACGAAGCGGAGCAGCGAGGCGCGGGTGCACGCAACGGAGCCGAGCGGCGCGGGCGCTTCCAAGTCCCCTCCCTCCCCCTTCCTCTTCCTACCG